ACTATTTTGTTATTGCGTACAAATTCCTTCTTTAAACAGAATTATACCTTAAGTAGTGATCTGATATGCTTTCAATATATCGCTTTATTTTCAGTAGTTAGTTTGTAAGGAATAGATTTGTTTTTACGAGTTGGGCACGGATTGAAATCAGTTAGAGAACCACTGGAGAACCAGGGAGTACTGGACAGCTGTTTCATCCTAGTGCTTGGGAATCATCGTCAGTACACTTCCGATGGGGTTCGAACCCAGGACCTTCCAGTTACAAGGGAAGCTCGTATACCATTCAGCCACTGGGACCCAACCCGATTCAATGGCCAGCCCATGAATTCTAACTTCTACCAATTCGTGATTTAGCGCCACCACCAACCAATGTCATCGGTAGGACATCCATCTCCACACTTGACTGGATCTACCTTACTGGTCATGGCGTCTTACTAGAACTCCTGGAAACTCTGTCCTGTAGCAAGTCACTAGCGAGCATCAGATTAATTTTCAATAGTTGATTTGTAAGAATTAGATTTGTTTTTGTGAGTTTGACCACGGATTGATATCAGTTAGAGAACCACTGTTTATAAACTGTAGCGTGATGTCAACAGCTTTATTTTGGAGTTATACATCAAATGTAAAGATATCTGATTACTTGAAAACACCTCTTTACTGTAGTAAATTTAAAAGAAGCAATAACGGTGAAAAAGGTAGCATATAATGAAATCATAAATTTTCGTGGGACTGACCATTTGAATACTTTACAAATATTGTTATATATACAACTTTTTAAGGTTAAATACATACAAACACTGTTTGTACAGTATTCAGCTGAGCACTTCTTCCGAAATTTATGAATTCATTAAATAAATTTAACATGTGTGAACCAAATAGGACCAAATAACAAGATTTTAACATGTCTGATTTAGTTCATTCCTAGCCAACATCAATCAAATGACTTTAAATTTCCCTAGACCTAACTGTTTGTTTAAAATAAGTATCATTAAATTAAGTATTCGAAACATCTAAAATACTTTATTTTTATTTGTGAATACAATAAAATTGAAACTTATGAAATATTGTTAGTAAAAAAATACACTGTTTGAACATCTTCACCTGAGTATGGCTTTGTGTGTCTTAAAAGCAGCTCTGAGCGTTACTTTCGACGTGTTTAGTTCTGTTTCAGAAAGTGTAAGCAAGACAAAACAAACTAAAGAATGAATTATTTTGGCTAGTATACTGATCTAAGTTTAAATCACTCTACTGATATGTCTACATTCTGCTTTCGACAGCTATACTGGTTATGTATTCATGAGGAAATTTTAGAAAACGATCAGTTTGTGTGGTTAGATCCACAGAAATAAGCGAGTCTAGCCACAAGATTTCGTTTTGCGAATTTTCAAGGAATAGCCTCAAGAGTGGAAATAAATCCTCTCGGATGCAGCGGAGATTGTTTTACAAACTTCTTCTGACCAAAACACTTAAGATGAACTTCAACTTTGAATTTCAGGTGTATAATTAATCTTCTTTTTGGAATGTTAATTAGTGGGTTGGTATAAGTCAAATCGTTTCAAGAAGAAATTCACTTTTCTCCCTACATATACGATAGATTCTTGTAATACGACAGTTGATAATGTTCTTTATTATTATTATTATTATTTGGAAAGGGCTGTACATTTTTCCCCTTTTATTATAAAATGATATCTGAAATGAAACATCAATTCTCTAGTGGTTAAAAATCTTTAAAAGGAAAGTCACGTTCGGAGAGCAGAAAGAAGGGCACAGTCCCAATTTTGTTAACATGTACCGAAAAGCCTACGTCTAAAAAGAACAAACGCTTCAAACACTGCCATTACCAAACATCTCCTTGATACGGATCATGGGTTGGGAATCACAAATTCCTTTGAAACTATCAATAGACAAAATAGCTCATTTCTCCTCAAGTCTGCTGAAGCAATCTTTATCAAACGCCTGAAACACGATCTATGGGTTCAGAAAAGGGCAGTTATCAGTCTTTTCTTGCCCTGGTAACTGGATGTCTTTATTCTCTTTCATTTGATTACGTAATCTTTGGCTTTAACCTCATCCCCCTTTGATATTGTGTAATTTCACTTGCTTTTTGTTTCTATGGTTTGAGTTGAACTCAACACATTGATATCTAATTTATTAGTTACTCAAAATCTTACGCGCCTCTCATCTTTATTACACAACTCCTTTACCATTATATGCATACATTTACTTTGTCTAAACTTTAACTTCCTGTGTGAAAACTATATAAGCTTAATCTTCAGAGCACGGTTCACTAAGTTCGGAACTTCCTGTCAACTGACGTCATGTGAAATTTGAAAGTATGTAAAACTTTTCTGTACATGAACTTAATAATAACTTATTTAGGCTGTAAGCAGCTGATGAGAAGCCAAGGAAATAAATGATGGTACTCTATTATTCTGCAAAATCTGTTGTTCTTGCTTTATTTAAAAAAGATAGTATAAATTTCAGACATCAAAGTGAATGATCAATCAACATTATTAAAACGTTTTTGGTACAAGTTAAGCTCTTTAAGCACTTGTAAGAAATACCAATGGAGTGCGACCTCCCCAATAACTTTGGAATGCTCAACCAGCAAGCTAGTGAAACCGGGCAAATAACATTATAAGCATGAATAAAATGTGCCTAATAAATTGACTCAATATTAAACGGAGTATCTAGTAAGTTTTCGTTAGATCTGAGGAAGATTAAGTTGAGGTTTGGTCTAAGAACAGGTTAGAGTTAGATTCAGGAGAGACTAGAGTTAGAAGACTTCAATGAATACGTATGTAAATGTGGAAATTTTACGATGTTGACACGCCAATACAAAAGAGAAAGTCATTTTTGTCACATGTCAAAGAAGAGTATCTTGTGTAACACATGCATGACTTTTTATTCATTATTTTCATAAATATTTGTATTTTATAAATAAAAGTCGCTCTATTCGTGTGATTGGTGCGTTTAAGGTTATTTATCCAATGTTTCATTTTGGTGCTTAAGCGTTAACTTCTCCACATCTTGGATTTTAGTAAATTCGATATTCTTAACGATATTTATGCAGATATTTTCAGTGTAATGCTTATAAACCTTGAATCCATAAACAGTCAATTACTGGTTCTGCACTTCAAATATGCTGGCATATGAAATAATCAAAATTTCATTTCATAAAACATAAGTTTATTTGATAGAATAAATAGTGATACAGTATTAAGAAATAATTGTATTCACACGACTTACTAACGTCATTTATACAGCCTCACACACTCTTGCATTTTTAATGTAACCAGAAAGTCCTGGGTTCGAATCCCGGTGAGTGCGTACTGCTGAAGAGTCCCAAACTAGGACGAAACAGCTGTCCAGTACTCCCTGGTTGGTTTTACAATGGTTCTCTAACTAATTTCAGCTCATGATGAAATCCTGTAACCAATCAAATCCCTACAAACCAACACTTGAATAATTTTCCATATATTCAGGATAGATGTTGTCTCATTCCTATTCCATGTGTGCGGCACTAATTCTATGAACAAAAATTCAGTGATTAATTCCTCCATTTTTAATTACTTTATGCTTAATTATTCTATTAAGTGATTATTTACGAGTGAATGAACTTTGCCTAGATTATTTAATGGGACCAGTTATTCTAGATATATTTAAATTTCTACATTTTGTTAACCTAACTGACGTCCGAATTCACCTATTTAATTGATCTCAGAGTCATTAGACTTGATATTCAGTAAATTATGTTACTTTTTCCTAGAGGATCTATCAGATTTTCAAACCAAAAATGTCAATCTCTGTGTGAATTGACTAGTTTAAGTGTCACCCTAATAATAGCCTTGCTAGAAATTCTACTCATTGTCTCTATTAATGCATTGTTATTCCTTTGAGTTCTGAAAGAAATATAGGGCTACAGCAGCCCATCTTTATTTAGTCCTCTCCTCTGCAGCTCTTTTTAGCTGGTCACTCAACTGACCAAAAGCTTCCATCTCCTCACCACACGATCTCCTCCATGTTACCTTCAAATCTAGCTTGTGATGTCACTCAACGGTTTCCTCAGTGTTTCTCTATTTTTTTCGGTATATATTTTGTGTAGTAGGTCCCTGATTTGTTACAGGATTTCATCACGAGGTGATATTAGTTAGGGAACCATTGTAAAACCACCTGGGACTACTGGACAGCTGTTTCGTCCTAGTTTGGTACTCTTCATCATTGCGGACCCACCGGTGTTCGAACCCAGGACCTTCTGGTTACAAGGCGAGCTCGTATACCATTAAGCCACTGGGACATGATCCAATAGTCAGAAGATGAATTCTAACTTCTGCCAATTCACGACATAGCACGACTCCTAGCCAGTGCCTATAACTAATAGTGTAACAACAGAAGACAAGGGCCAGGCAACAGATCCTTTATTATGAAAATCAACACGTATTTATACATCTTTCAACTACATTATTATAGACAAGCGCAGTCATCTGATTGGTTGTTTAGGTAGACAAACGCAGGCTTCTGATTGGTTGTTTCGGGATTCTTTGACAAATAGAGTTCTCTCTGCGAATCATATTTTGCCACGTTAACTTTGCTGTGATTGGTTGTTGACTCAGGCTTGTTCATATTTTCTCACGGCCCATATTAGTGACCTAGACCTTAACGTAGATTAGTGCCAACCAATCGGCTAGCAGCCTGCTCTCACCACAATAGTAGCTCATGATGAAATCCCATAACCAGTCAAATCCCTGCAAACCTACACTTGAAGGTCCCTGATTTGTTCGTTCTCAGAGTTTTTTGCTGAAAATTTTTTCCACCCAGTCATTTGACCTTCGGTATGGAGCCAGAGAAGGCAGTTGTTGATAAAAGCCTGCAGCTTGTCGAAAACTCAAAGCCCCTAATGTTCCCATTTTTAGTGGCCGTGATTTTTAAAGGCTCTGAATTCCATATTATTTATATTATATTATATTCATTTATTCCACTTTTCTTCTATACTTTTTTAGCCTACAACAAATTACCAAAATCATGGGGTGGAATGACAATCACATTGTTTTGGCATGCTTTCTGCCTTATTTGTATTATTGCCTATATCATGGGTACATCGGAATTGATTTTCAAGCAATACACTGATGACATCATTAAAGCCAAGCCTTATACACAAACAGATAAAACTAATCAAACAGTTTATTGTAATTTAAATGACCGACTATGTCAGTATTTTGAAAGGAAATTTCAGTATCCAATAATAAAATGGTCAAATGCTCAGCGAACACCAGAGATCTCCAATGAATCAGTGATACTGTTAACAGATCATATACATGCACATTATCTACAAACATTAAAAAGCGATAAAGAGAATTGGGAACTGATCACACTGAAGTGCAATACTACTGAAAATGATGACAGTAATAATATTGGTGATAAACAATTTAATGATATGCCTATAATGGAAATGGGATTTTTAACTTTCAGTGAGAAATCGCTATATCAAATGAATATTTACCTAAAGGTAGGTAGACTTTTGATTAATTCCCATGATTTTATACATGCTTCATAACTTTAAGTTTATTAAACTGAGAAAGCTATTTTTTGAGGATGGTGATGATAAAGAGGTTTGAAGTGTTCAAAATAATTCTGTAAACTTAGCAACATATATTTGTTTACTATGAAAGTTTATAAGTTATTTGTTATTACTATTCCTTTGGGTTTCGAGTGGAAAATAGCGCTTCAACAACACATTTTTACTTTGTTCTATTTGGTCTTGTCCTCTTCAGCTGGGTCAACGATTGACCATACTCTATCATCCTCTCCCCACTACACGACCTCCTCTGTGTCACCCTCGCAATGACGACACACTCTCCGCTTCCCACTGGGATTCCACTCGAGCGATAGCCTGCAGTGAGCTCTATGTCATTCGATAGCCTCCTCAAACTATGCCCAATCAGTCCATCTCTATTTTCTCCTACATATTTGTTGAACAATCGGCTGTTACTTTGTTGGTTTATTCCCAGTTGCAGTTTCTTGTTACTAATTCTTTGTGGTTATTTGATTTCCACTATGGAGCCAGTAAAGGCGGCCATCTTTTCGAAATGCTTTTCGTGATACGCTGTCCAAGTTTCTGACTCGTATAGAAGAACTGATTGAATTCACATTAGAGTTGAAAATCCAAATCTTGTTGTTTACATTGCGTGCAGTGCAGAAGATTTCTGAACTTGTTTCAGGTTTGTAAGTATTCAGGCTTTAATAAAAAATAAAACTATTTATTCTATGAGCTTTCAAGCCTCATATTTTTCTAAGTATCCCAGTTATATATTTCAAGAATGATTGGTGAACAAAAAATATTCTTTTCAATAATTGAAGCTTTAATTGGTTGGAGGGTTTCATCATGAGCTGACGTCAGCTAGAGAACCATTGGAAAACCTGGGAGTACTGGGCCAGGTGGACACGTTGTTCTGAAGACTCCCGGACTAGGACGAAACAGCTGTACTGCTTTTGGAATAAATTAGGTTATTATTATTATTATCCCGGTGGATTCCACTGCCGGTCACCATCCACCAATGTAGTATAAATGTTAAGCAGTGAACGCTTAGTGAGTAATCGAGTACTGTTTGTGACAACAGCTCCAATAGTCCCATTGTAGAGTTCTTGTCCAGTAGATCCTACATTTCTGTAGTGTCACTGTCTCCATCTAATGGTGTATTCTGCAATTTTGCATAAGATATTTCCTCTTGGGCTTGAACACTTACAATTTTGACTTTAAAGAAGTTAACTGACTATGAGGTTATTCGTATTTTGATTAACACTAACGACTACACAGTTATACTGTATAGTTCTTGATTGTAAACCTCTTAATTTAACTGCTGACATATCGTAATTTGAATAATCCCTGTAATAATGTTACTAACTTTCCAGTCAACTGACTCAGATTTTAATTTAAAAGGGCACGTTATTATCTCATATTTTCATACATCTACCGTTAACAAATCTCAAGTAAATGTGGGAAGTAAATAACACACTGTTTCCTATCAACTTCCTTTTCAAACCGAAACAAAAGACAACTCGGGAAAGCAACAGTTTTTTTTATCCCCCAGCCTAGTTATTATATTTCACATTTGAGATAGCTACATTCCTAATTATCGGATGATTGTTCTTTATACAACCAACCGTTATTCAGACGAAATAATATTACCTTTCCCAGGCTTACTACATTCTGAACTTCACTCGTTTTCAGGGAAACTACATTTATCATTTTGTAGCGTTTTAGAATCCAGCGATGTACCTTTAGTTGTATAAATAAATTCAGAAAGTCTCAAAACTTCGTTGACAAAATGGCTGGGTCATAAGGTGACTATTAGAGAACTTAGACGTTCTTAATCCAGTTTGATGTAAAATTATCCGGGTATATGTTGCGACAACAGCTTCTGAACTTTCAGAATCTTACATTTTTTTCATTCCTTAACGTTGTACTGACCAAACTGCAACTCTACGCATCATCATCGAACAAAGCATGGAATGGCAATCAAACCTCTACCTCAACTTTATAGACTTTGAAAAGGCCTTCGACAGCGTTGACCGTGGATTAATTTGGAAATTACTCGAGTACTATGGCGTAATCCAAATATTCATCAACCTTATTCAACAGCTAGCTGTACGACAACGGCAAATGTCAAGTCATCCACAACGGAAAACTCAGCGAGGTGTCTGGTCTAAACACAGGAGTCAGACAAGGGTGCTTATTATCACCAATGATATTCCTAATTGTGGCGGACTGGATCATGCGTCAGACAGTGGGAAACGAGAAGACAGGAATATCCTGGACTGACCGACGTGAAGAACCTAGAAGACCTGGATTTCGTGCGTGGATGATTTATGCTTGATGTCACACACAATCGAAGACTTACAGGCGAAAACCGACAAACTGGTCGAAGAAGGAGCCGGCGAAGACAGGACTCCAGGTAAACATAGACAAGACGGAGGTGATGAAAATAACCAACCAACAACAGCAACAGCAGCAACATTCAGCGCCAATCACCATCAACGGGAGGGATTAGAAAGAGATTACTTCATTCACTTATCTAGGGAGCATTGTCTCAACTACATGAGGAGCGGACGAGGATGTCAAATCGAGCGAGAATCGGGAAGGCGAGAAACACATTCATCAGCCTGAAATCAATCTGGAAATCTTCGTCACTCAGCCACCATCAACAACAAAATTCGGTCGGATTTTCAATACAAACGTCAAGTCAGTCAGTTCTTCTATACGGATCAGAAACTTGGCGGGCGGGTCACAAAGAATATTTCTAACAGGTTATTGCAGACCTTTATTAACAACTGTCTTCGCTCTCTACTGAAGATCAGATGACCGGAAAGAATCACCAACAAGAAACTATGGCTGGGAACAAACAAAACAAGAACCAGTCGCCAGCCAACAAATATGCAGGAGAAAGTGGAGATGGATCGGACACTCGCTCGCTAAGGAGGCCGGTTGGTGACATCGCGCGTCAAGCCCTTGAGTGGAACCCGAAAGGGAAGCGGCGTGTGGGACGTCAGTGCAAAGGTGACATGGAGGAGATGGTGTGAAGAGGAGTTGAAAGAGTATGGACTAACATGGATGCAGGTGAAAAGTACAGCAGAGGGAAGACAGAAGCAAGTGGAGACGTTCAGTTGAAGCCCTATGTTCCAATAGGAACCCAAGGGAGCAATAATAATAATATAATAACGTTCCCAATAGAACATAGGGCTTCAAGCTAGAGCTTTGAATTTTCATTGGCAGTGGTGTTTTATTTTTACGGGATGGGTTTGCTAACCTCATGTTCAGCCTTCCCTCTTTACCAGTCTTGTTACTGGCTTAGTAAGGTAAAGATGTGCGTCAGCCACGGATCGAACGGTGAACCCCATGCGTGGTTGGCGAGCATTCTACAGCTGTGCAACTGACACCCAAGTCTTCCACTGGTATTCCAGTATTGAAAAATCTTGTGCTGGTGGTTTGATGGCAGACTTCTCATTAGCCTCATGGCTGACCAGAGTTCAGTTCTCAGTTGGCTCACTGCTAAACCTCACCTAGTAGGTAGCAAACCAGAGACATTAGGATAGGTTCCATGTGAAGCCAACATTCCTACCCCGTGAAAACAACGCTACGTTGATATGAGCAATAAATTGTGCTCGAAACGTTTTCAGTAAATATTACTATATAACACTGTGAGACTTTATCAAAATCAATTTTACCCATAATGGAACGCTACCTCTATTGTAGCGCTTAACTTTAAACCTTGAATCCTTATGTTTCATTCTAAACTCAGAGGAACAGAAAAATAATTGAAATATTCACTTTGAAAATAGCCACTGTCAAACAAATAGTCATTCAAAATAAAACTAGAAATTAGATTCGTTTCACATACGGTTTAAACAAATAAGTCATTGTTTTGTCCACAAGAATAAACAAATAAAAAATCTGCATATTGTGCTAATTGTTTAAATTTTGTCAGGACAACGTAAACAAAATTTTAAGTTTGATATCCACCAATCATATTTATTGATTATTTGATTATTGATTATTTCAGGATGATGTGTGTAACTGCTGACACACTTGTTGATGACATCCAAGTGATTCTCATTGACTCTATTTATTTCATTGTATATGTTATGCAAAAGTGGTGGTGTTTTGAAGTCAGGAGCTTGTGTAAAATCATGTTAACAACCTTTACAAGTTTGTAACTTCAAAATACACTTCAACAATGCAGTAGTACTTAATGTAACTGATTAGGCATTAAGTCAGATTACAGACTGACATCTCTTAGAGCGCTACTGCAAACCAGGAAGTTCTGCACAACTGTCTTGACTTACGCAAGACACCATAAGCTTTCGAATCCATGGCCTTCAGGTTAAGAGACGATCCTGTTGACCATTCAACCACTAGGACAGAAACCGAAAAACCATGAGTTCAAACTTCGGAGATTACGTGATTTTTAGTTATTATTATTGTTCCCTTGGGTTCCTATTGGAACATAGGGCTTCAACTGAACGTCTCCACTTGCTTCTGTCTTCCCTCTGCTGTACTTTTCACCTGCATCCATGTTAGTCCATACTCTTTCAACTCCTCTTCACACCATCTCCTCCATGTCACCTTTGCACTGACGTCCCACACGCCGCTTCCCTTTCGGGTTCCACTCAAGGGCTTGACGCGCGATGTCACCAACCGGCCTCCTTAGCGAGCGAGTGTCCGATCCATCTCCACTTTCTCCTGCATATTTGTTGGCTGGCGACTGGTTCTTGTTTTGTTTGTTCCCAGCCATAGTTTCTTGTTGGTGATTCTTTCCGGTCATCTGATCTTCAGTAGAGAGCGAAGACAGTTGTTAATAAAGGTCTGCAATAACCTGTTAGAAATATTCTTTGTGACCCGCCCGCCAAGTTTCTGATCCGTATAGAAGAACTGACTGACTTGACGTTTGTATTGAAAATCCGACCGAATTTTGTTGTTGATGGTGGCTGAGTGACGAAGATTTCCAGATTGATTTCAGGCTGATGAATGGGATGTGATAACGTGATTTACTGTCAGTCAATGACATAGGCGAGTATTCGTTCTGACAACAGATTTGATGGACTCCACTGGTCAGGATTTCTCACTAAGATGATAGTACTGACCGGTGATGGAGATATATACCGTTGACTGCGATAGATTGGAATTCATTGATTATTAGATTCCATCCCAGTACCTGAACAGTGAGTGGTCACACATTGTAACCTGAAGTACATAGTTTCATTTCCCAGTGGATTGGTGGGTGCATACTGTTGCAGAGTGCAAAACTAGGTCGAAGCAGATGTCCAGCACTCCCTAGTTACCGAAAGTTCTCCAACTGCAAATTACTTCTAGTACCACATTTCTGACAATTTAATCATTTTTTTAATAGAAAGTTTTTTGTTTTATTAAAACTTTGGTTGATACATACTGACAATAAATATATCGAAATCATCTACCCCTGAAATTATGGGGTTGTAAGTATGCTTAATATATGCGTAAAACTTGGGCACTGTGATAGTAAGTAATTCCATATTAGTTTGTTTATTAGATGTATCACACAGTGAAACAGTATTGGTATTTACTGGATGACGTTTTGAAAGTCATGCTACAAAGTCGTGTGATTATAATTGATGAAATGATTATAAACAATAAATTTTGTTCAAAACGTCATCCAGTAAACAATACTGTTTCACTGACTGTGTGATACATCTAATAAACAAACTAATATGGAACTTGAACAATGCAAGAGAAGAGAAATGGGTATCCTCAAAGGTTCATCAACAAGTATGGAAGATCTGAAGTCAAAAGAGTAAAACAAATCACAGTGGAAAAAAAGCCAGTCTACCTTCAGCTTGATTACAAAGGTGAAAATATTGCAGCGATGATCAACAGAAGGCTGAGTACATCACTAGCCATAGCGTATCCTGCAGCTAAGCTCGTTCCCGTCTATCGAACAACTTACTCTTTGGTGCAATCGAAAATCGATAGATATCCTTCTCATGTTACCTCCAACTGTGTATACAAATTTACATGTATCTGCGGGAGCAGTTACATTGGAAGGACAGAAAGAAGGGCATATCTACGATTTTCTGAACATGTACCAAAAAGCTTACGTCTAAAGGGAACAAATGCTTTAAATAGTGCCATCACCAGGCATCTTCTCGACACGGGTCATGAGGTGGACGTTGAAAGGTCGTTCAAAATTATCAATAAGCAAAATAGCTCCATTCTCCTTAAGTTTGCTGAAGCCATTTCCATCGAGCGCCTGAAACCTGATTTATGCGTCCAGAAAGAAGCGGTTATCAGCCTTTCTTTGCCCTGGTAACTGGATAATTTCACCTCTCTTTCCTCCGAATGTGAAATGCTAAAAGTTTCCATTGTGTTTGATTATTATTGTTCGAAATAGTGGTTAATATTGCATATTTATATATGTATATATTTTTAGTGTATGCGTATATTGATCGATTGATTTTTTGTTTAAACTGAACTCTGTGCAAGTATGTTAAAATTGTTGTTGTAGATATATTTAATAATGTCTTTGCCATGTAAGCAGCTGACGAGAAGGCAACGAAATAAAAGATGGTACCATTTTATTCTGCTAAAACTGTAGTTCTTGCATTGTTCAAATTCATTAAGGGGAATAAATGTATAATATGGAACTGTAAGTATATTATTTAGTAAAAATGAACAATATAATCAGCTGGTTATTGATTAGTAGCCGAATTCATATTTTGACTGGTCATCATTTATGTTGAAGGTACAGCCAATAAAGATTCATTTTACAGTACAATCCATTTGATATTGAATGGTCCGAGGTATAATATTATGAATTATGAATTTTCAAGGAGGTCGTCAGAAAACAGAAGTTCTAGTGTGTTACAGTGATGCAGGCGCTCAGCAGGAAGCCATGGACCTAGGTTTCTTGCCTGTTCTCACTCGAAGAAACTGATTTCCTCTAGGAGACTTGAACTTGATTGATCGAACGCAGTTAACATCAGCATGACTTTGGTTACCCGCCAGTAACTGATTAATAAATGTTCGAGTCTGTTTTCTGAATATTCCTACTGTGATTAGTATTCCTTCTACGTATCAAAAGAAACCATCTTCAAAAACCACAATAAAATGCATCCAACCATATAGATAAAGAATGTTTTCAAGTTATACGGGTAGGATACTAAAATCATGTGAAATAGATATAGCACACAAACTAATACGATCACTGGATTCAATACTACACAGGCCAAAGGACCCAATAGCGAAAGAAGACAAGATGAACACAATCTACAAAATATATATTTATGAACTGTGATAGGCACTGCGTCGGTTAAAGTGGACATCTCCCTAAGATTTTGAATACAAGTACATAAACTATCTTTGAGAACCAAGTACATGTATTCTTTCATTTCAGGGTATTCCTAGAAGCCTGTAACTTGGGCGAATTGGCTATTAGCAGACACATTATTATTGATCAAATTTAATAATCAATAAAGAATAAATCGCATGACAAAATGTCAAATTCCAAGTCAATAGAAACGATTGAAACTGATTCAGATTAATAACCAATCAAAATAAAGGTTGTCACGTAGTACAATTAAATCACAAATAGAGGATTCAAACAAGTTCACTTCATATTGAAGTTTGTGCTGGAGATGTGGTCTAACAGGACAACGAAATCTTCACAGTTAAATCACGCAGCTCAGAGAACCCAACCCCATCAAAATAATCCGCCTATGGTACATATCTCTGTTATTTCAAATATATGTTCACCGTTCACTACTGTGTTCATCAGTTACAAATAGTATTGACTACCCAATGCTATAATACCACTATGATCAACCAACTTGTTATGCGACCGTCTAATCTGTGTTCTCTCCTAAAGGATGTAATTGGTGGAAACTAAGTATGCTCACAACGAGTCTTACTAAGTCACTTATTTTACCTTTGATATGGCTGCGTTCTCTGAGCTGCTTGGTTTAACTGCCAAACTTTAATTATCCTCCTAAAACATTTTCAGAGATTAACTCACACCAATCTGAGCTACAAATTTTCTCCATTATTTCAAAATCAGGAATTCACTCAAAGTGGGAATCCTGTCCATTCTCTTGTAAACATTAATTGCACAACCCTACTATAACGTATAACGTGTTTATATAAATTTAAAATTAAATCAGTACATTGAAGCTTTATTTATAAGAAGTAAATGTGAATGTAGCGTTAATTTCTCTGTTATCCTCAGAAGCGGTAAATTTCATTTGCCTCTAATTTCTCCAGTAGAAAAGGAATCAAAGAACAACAGTTTCCTAAAGATATTTGAAACCTTTTTTGGCTTTTATTTTTGAAACTGATTCAGATTTCATAGTATTCTTCTGATTGAACTCATCCAGTCTTCCCCTAGGTCATCCAAATAAATGTGATTATGAGTAGGCTAGAAATTGAATACCTATATTGTAGTATAAGGCTTGAATAACTCAGCGAAATTCCGAACCCTGTCAGTCGTCTTCTGAGTTCATTTAGCTTCTAGCTTTTATCCTTTTCTGTCTACCAAGACTACAGTTTTAAACTTTTAGTACAAACCAAGCTTCTCAGAAGTGTACCTAGAGTTAGTCAACTTAAAAAGCCGAATTCTTTCAAACTACCATGATTCGATGAAACAGTATAAGTATTTTGTTACTGGGTTGGTGACGGCTACAAGTAAAGGATACTCATTTTCTCCTACTTGGAACTCGTCATCTGGAAATACTTGCATTGCTGGTGAGTGATGGTGTTTTCACTCATACTTGAAGCTAGCTAGCATTAGTCATTTCAAATGCCTAATTTTTGACCATCGGACTAATGAGCCACCTCGTATGTGGTGGGTCTCAGGTTTTATTTGTTTAAGTAGATTTAAATTTCCCGTTGACCAATCCTACAACTAGTTACTATCAACCAAATAACGTGCCGCTTATCTTCAAATCTCGTCGAATAATCAGTGCCAGAAGGACACGTATCAGAAGACAATAAGCCTTTCGGCATAATATTTTCATTAGACGGGAAATATTAATTTTCTTAAAGATAAAAGTATAACGTTTTGATGCAGTAAATATATGCAGTTGCATCTGTGTTTCATACATGACAGGTTTGCTGAAATTTCTCACTGTATGTCTGTCTGCCGCACAGAAAAGATAAATAAACTACGTGATTTCTTGATTACGAATGAACAGTTATTGGGGTTTTAGCAGACGCCTTTATAATTCTTTACACTTATCCCCCTTTTATAAATTTGAATAAAATGAGAACAGCAGTTTGTGCAGGATAAGTTGGCATCATAATTTATTTCATTGGCTTCTCATCAGCTGAATACAGCATAAAGAAACTATTAACTTAATGTGCAGAACAGTCTTGACATACTTGTGAACACAGAAAGATTGAGCGAAGAAATATTTACTTTTCAATTAGATCCTCATCTTTGGCTCTACTCTAATATATATAGCATTTTAATTACAATACAACAGTTTGCCAGTCAAGTGGCGATAAGTTTGTTAACAATAATTAAACAGTGTCAATGGGTTAATAGTTAACGAAGAAAATCAATACAGATTTAAAAGGTGGAAATGGATAGAATAAATTAATTTTACAAGAATAACACGTAATTAAAGATGAAGTGGTCAAAATAAATAAAATAAAATAAATAATTTAGAAACGAGGGACAAGGATATATCAAAATGCCTATCTCTTAAGGGAAAAAGCACTCTCAATAATGCCATCAGTAGGTATCTCGTCGATTTGGGTTATGAAGTTTTAAAATATCAGTAGACAAAATATTTGAATTTCTCTCAAGAATGCGGAAGCAACCGCTATTAGTCTTGCCTTGCCCTGGTAACTGGATGTCTATACTCTCTCCTTCATTTGATTAAGCAATCTTTGGATTTAACCACTTCACCTTTCGATATAATGCTAGTTTGTCTGTCCCTTGTTTCTATGATTTGAGTTGTACTCACCAAAATATTACTTGATGTAGAAAGTTAGCTACTCATCATTTTATTCACCTCTCGTCTTCATCACACAACTGTTTCGCTATTGTATCCAAGCTTTTATTTTTGTTTAAACTTGAGCTGTCTGGGTATAAACTATATAAGTGTGATTTCTGAGCACTGCTTATTAGGTTTAGAATGCCTTGTCAATTAGCATCATGTGATGTTCACAAGTATGTCAAGACTGTTCTGTACATTAAGTTAATAGTATTTTTAGACTGTACTCAGCTGATGAGAAGCCAACGAAATAAGCAATGATGGCGACATCTTATTTTACACAAACCTTTATTGATTTGTCTTCATTCAAAATCATTTAAATTTTTAGTTCAAGTAGCTGCCATTATGTTGAATATGTATATAACTCTCAAACTAATTAATTTAGTAACTTTTAACTACTCGTGATCAATTTTTTTTATTACGGCTTGATTCCACACCGTATTTTTGGTACAAGTATGAAATTTTCAGCATGTGATTTCGGTAGCCCAAAGTTTACAGGCCAACCATAGATATCAGGTGTGCGTTGGCAGAGGATCGAACTTCGGACCATGTGCATGATCGGCGAGCGTCCTAACCGCTATACCACCGACGCACACAGCACTTTTCGATGAAATACTTTGTCCCTCATAAGTGTTCAAACATGTCAGATGCACGCGAACATTGAAGCTGACATTAATGAAATGTTTATTTAATCAATTTAATTTTATATTTCTCCCTTATTGATTTATATTAGACTAAAATATTCGATATATACGTTAACATCTCGGCTTCTTGTAACCGACGCCTGCATTAACCAAACAGCAGCTAAAATATACATTATTCGTTTTATATAACAATGAAATACATAGAAATGTGAGAAAATTTCCTCTCCGAATACAAATTATATTCTGTAAGTATATAAGATATTTTTAGTGAATCAGTGAGTGACTCAGTGGTGGATTGATCCGCGGACACGCTGGAGGTCCTGATCAGATTCCGGCAGAAGCTATCCTAAAATGCACCAATAGCTAACGCCGAAAAGAGAAAAGAGTCGGCCTGTGTCTAGTAACCCCAATTTCTTGAAAGAAAGAAAATAACAAAATTACCCCTACCGAAGGGTTCGAAGCATGGTGCTTGAAGCTTTGTGTCCTCCAGAAAAAGAAAGGAATGAGCGAAAAATTTACTTAACTATTCTGAGATCTAATGGTAATATTCACTTTAATTGTTTTTATTTTCTATTAGTACCTGGAAGATTCTGGAAAATTACTGGCCAAGCAAGAATCCCAAGAAGAACGAATCTTTAATTTCCTATCTAAATCTCAAATGTATACCAATTTGTGCACAGACAAGGATGATCTGGACGGTAGAATACCAATTCGTTTAAAACAAATGAATGGAGTTCTTATTTTCATGATCGTTGGCGGTTTTTGTGGAATTATAACACACTTATGTGAATATATTTACTACGTGGTAATGAATCGATAATCTCTAATATCTTGATTTCGATCCTTGATATTATTGAAACTGTCTATTGCTTTTCAACGTTTTGTTTAAAACGAAATAAACTCTTATGATAGAGAAATTAATCTGACCGCTTCCATTCCATCAACAGTTGGCAGTTACCTAGCAGTTCTCTTGTTTTAATGTTTCCATACATATTTTTTAATACTGACAATTAATATTACTGATATTTTGATTGAATATATGTGTGTATGTAATTATCCATTGTTGTAATATTCTCAATATTAGTTCCGTTTTCTTGTTTTACTTCTGTTGGTTCGATAAGATACAGAGATCAGTATGATATGATAGAGTTACGTGTAAAACAGAATGATGGCAGGATTCGAAAGCAAACTTCAAGTGAAATAGGATTCGGATCAGAAAAGTATTTTTCACTGCAGCACGTTAATGTATCGCTTAAGAAGTGAAAAGTACAATATAAGAGCAAAATTTGGGCTACCGATATCCATGCTGAAAATTCCATACTTGTATGAAAAATACAGTGTGGAATCAAGCTGTAATCAAAAAAAAAAAATAAATAAATAAATAAATAATAGCTAGTTTCTATATCAGATGACTGGAGGTAACTGACAGGAAGTTCACGATCTGGGTTTTGTGCTGGTTGGTACTCCTCAGCATTCGGTACGTGCCACCCGAAAGGAACTGACGTCTCCTCGTTGGTTTGAACTGGCTTCATACAGTGTTGCAGTCAGAACCATTACCACTGAATTATTTGACCTCACTATTGACCTCCTGCTCAAAGCATAGAAGAGACTTTTTTAAGAAAATATCAGCCTTCTGTAGTATTGCCATATATCTCTAACAGGAAATGTTAGTTCTACTTGCATAATTTACAGCTCACAGTTCTATGAAGGAAGAGTCATTTTTGTCTCATTGTCAAAACTAAACGGTCAGTTCAGATCGCTTTTATGAGCAGATTATGACTTTTAAAACAAATACCATTAGTTTGCGAAATTTGTCTTACAAATAAAAGTAGTCAGGTATAATGTCACTGATAGTTGGGTAGCATCAAAACTGAGTCAGTGAAATTGATTAGGCAGCTTAAACCTATAATCTGTCTTCTCAGCTTTTCTAAGACTCTTATAAGGCAGTTAGCTACACAGGTAATGATTTTTGTATGTCGTTGAAGGTGACATCGCTTTTATTCACAGGAGATCAGGGACATATGTCAATCTGTCCGAACACACAGGTCGATGACTTTCAACTTTATTATGTTATAGAGCGAAAGGACAAATTGACTCTCTTCTGACTTTCACATGGTAAAATGATGCATAATTTATTTCCCCAAATTGCTGCCACCAGGGCATATGCTACTTACAAAAGTTTATAAGTAGTATATTCTGTGACGTCTTTGGCAAAATTATTGAGGAGTGCACTAATCGATTAAGTTGTGAAGAGGAAATATGAAATATCTTTGTGAGACAGTGCAAAAAGTTTGAAATGAAGACAAAATAAGTACAATACGCGAAACATGTACAAATGAAAATTTCATCATTTTTCCAAATAATCACTTCTGATTGTTCTGATGTTACACTAGCTCTGTTCTACCTTGTTTATGTTATCAAATGAATATGATTCCACTTGACACTTAAACATAATACTCATTGCTTCATTTTTCAGAGTTCTATTAAGAAACTAATAACTCAACGAAAATCAGTGAGTAGTTATATATGTCCAAACCATGTTCACTTTCAACGGTTTGGAAAAATGTGGGCATTGAGTATATGATATTCATTATAACAAAGGTGTTTGTATTTCTCAATGAATGAAAAACAAAACGATATTGCTGTTTTTCCTGACGTTTCACTATTTAATGCTGCTGCCAATAGCTTTATCAAAGCATTATTAAACCGGAATTTACAAAATCTCAGCATATAAATAACAAAGAGTCAGGGGTGAGAAAATAGACAAGTTAGGTCAAGTTAAAAGGACATATTGAAAGTCAAAATAACAATGAAGATCACTAAACCAAATAACAATGGTGATAGTACATCTGTTATGACATCAAAATAAAGTTCACTAACTTGATCATGGTTCGTCTGTATGGAGGCATTTTTTGTGATTAAGCTGGTCAATTGGTAAAGATAACAAAATCAAGTGTAGATTGTTTGATTTGATCAGTGTGTAAAATTATAAAAGTAGTGTGTGCTTACATAGTGAACTTGCTTATCACATTTGTGTTGATTTTGTCATTTCATGGGTGAGGGAGGTGTTGTAACCAGGTCAGATTCTGTTTTAGTCCATCATTCCTATTCAGTTCAGACAATTTGGATTCCACTTGATATGAAGCGCTTCTAATATTGGATGTTCTTTGTGATTTCTGAAGTTTTTCTGGATTATTTCGATATTATCAAAATCAATTTGTGACCTGATTCTGTAGCGCGGAGACCATCTATGGCTGATGATTTTTCAAGTTTTTCTAGTTCAACCGGATTTCTAGGTGGTCGAACAGATGTTTTTCATTCATTGGGAAATACAAACACTTTTGTTATAATGAATATCATATACCCGGTGCTCAATTTTTTACAAACTGTTAAAAGTGAACTTGGTTTGGACACATATAGATGCTCTATGGTATTCATTTCTTCTGATTTTGATTTCTTGAGATGTTTGTCCGATGTAGATCGCATCACATTCCAAGCATTTTATTTTATAAACACAATTAGATAGAGAATCTTTCGGGATTTGGTCTTTTATATGGACAAAGTTGCTTTGAAGTGTGTCTGGTGTTTTGAAGAAAACTCTGATATCATGCTTTCTGAGCAGTCTTCTGATATCGTCTGACGTTCTCGCTCTATATGGAATGACAACTGTTGATGTCCATCTTTTCGGAATGTGTTTTTCGCCATACTTAATGTCTATGTTGATTTTGTTGATGAATTTCTTCGGGTAGTTGTTTTGCTTGAGGAGAGTTTCAGTAATGTCTGATATTTCTTCTTCTTTTTTTTCTTTCTCATCCGTTATCAGAGAGTGTGCATTAAATAGCATTAAATGGCGAAACGTCAGTAAAAACAATATCGTTTTGTTATCCATTCATTGGGAAATACAAAAATCTTTATTACAGTGAGTAGTAAATCATACACACATTTAGCTCTTGTTTTAGGGATCTGAGAAGACTTTCTATTCACCGGCATGTATATATACATATACATGTTAGTGAAAATTCTGTTAACGGAGAAAATATATTTAACTTGTTAACAAAGCAGCTGAGTAACTGAGATAAATATAATTAGTGTAAATCTGACAACTACAACTTATATTCTCAAGGATATATATTTATATTCGACTAAATTAATTTATTTGTACACTGTTAAGTGACCTTCCTAAGAATATATTTCAGCGGTATTAATAGGCATTAAAGTAGTTTTCAGTGGTGTCAATTGGCTGCATGTGCAAATCACCTAATCTTAATTTTTTTCAAGGCAGACAGTTCATCACAAAATCCATGACGCCTAAAATATTTCTCTACTTGAATCTACAATTCTACCGAGACTTATAGACAAAACTACTGAGAACCCGCCTGTCTAGCTCATTAGAAAAAACGTTATACAAGGCATGGACATGAAGGATGTACCACTGTTGGGTTCATCAGTATGCATCTGTCAGAAGTGCTCAGCGTTTGCA